CTTACAGGGCGATATGGAAATGAGGTGATATGTCTTCCGGCAACATTGACTTGGTACCCCTCCAAGCCAGCACTAAGAGTAAGGACAAATAACTTGTCTTCTGCGAATGGAAATGGCCAATCAACAGAAACCTGCTTTGTTCGCCCTATTAATCGATTTAACCACCATATGGCTTTTGATTTTTCCGAGCCATCGTTGTCATCTTTACTCCACTTTTCACATTTTGGCAAGCCATCAACTGCAGATGATTCAAAGCATTAGCTATGATGTACAGTGCCTCAATAAAAATCAAGAGTTTAGTAAAGTACATGCTAAGTCCCATAAACTGCTTAAGCTCAATACAACTGGTTAGTAAGAAAATAGTAACTTGGAACAAAGCAGACTAACAGTCGATCACTTGGACAAGACTCTTCTCACTCTTTTCTTTCGCAGATCAAGATTTCATATGAAGGGGGAAAAACACTTTTTTCATTGGATGCTGGATCACTAAAAACCCCGTCAATTCTCTCCCATAAAACACATCTTTCACTCTAGTAACTTGAACTAATTTCCTCATGTACATAGATATAAACTGAAAGAAGCAAAGACATCCTTATCAAACCTATATATGGACAATATAGGCAAGTAACTTAGGTGAACTAAGTACAACAATCATTTGCACCAATCATCGGAGTAGTTATTATAGTATTTCCAGTATCTTTTTAAGAAATTTTCGCAAAGATTATGGCCCCGTTTGTTTCTCATTTTTTATCCATAAAAATGAAAAATATGACCATTATCCATCACATCAAACCATCAATTTTAAATTTCTATCTCTTGTGTGGGGCAATAACGACTATATTTTTTATTCTCATTCTACAATAATGAGAATCAAACGGGCACTATATGGCATAACAATCATCCCATTTCAAAACAACCCGTTACCATATTAATGTATCGAAATCAAGCAACATGTATAATCCGTAGAGTGGTTCTTACTACTCACCAGACTCCTCATCATCCCGGGACTTCCATCCCTCGCACCGCTGTGCTGTCCCCCACTGCATCCTATAACAAGTGTTCAGCTCAATAACAGGTTTCCCACTCCAGTCACCCTTTAACCGCGGATTAAAATGCAGAATCCTTGGTGGGTCCTCCCCGTCCACCGCTTTCAACCCCTGCAACTCCATCATAAACTGCGAAACCATCACATATTGCCCCTCCTTCAACAGAGAAATCTGCGGGTCAGTCTCCATATGTGCCACCCTCGGCTTTCCGACCACCGTAATATGCGACCCCAATGTCAACCCACACGTCAAAACCATCACTCTCCCATTCTTCAAGAAAACATCGGCAGATATAGACATATATTGTGGGCACTCCTCACTTCTACTACTATTATTACTACCACTTGTATTATTACTACTGCTGGCTCTATTTTTCCCTATCAATTCGAGCTCTTGCCAAAGTTTTTCCCCAATTTTAACAGCCTCTCTAGCAGACTTCAAAATCCCATTTTCCGAGCTTGACCATTCAGTCCCTGCACTCAAATTCAAGCTCGACACCAGGGATTTAACGAACTTTTTAGTTCTTCTTTCGGGTTTAGATTGATATTGAACATCAAGCGGGCGATTGCGGGCATCTTTCTCATCCAAAATTTCCTTGCTATCTAACGTGGAGTTGAAGTTAGAACGCCCATTACTCTTACC